AAAAAACAAACAAAAAAAACAACCTTGCATTTAAAAAAAACAACAACCTCACGTTGAGATGTGCTGTCCAGATACATCTGTTATGGATACTCGACTTACATGGGGCGGTTAAGACTCAGAGGAATGCATTGTAAGTTGTGAGTTAACGGCTGAGTGGAGTGAGGACGGGTCTGACAGGTCGTCGAGGTTTCTCACTCAAAGATTTCTTTCTAACGGTTGTTTAAACGCCTCGGAGTAAACGTTAGCTAGCCGTGGCTTCGTTGTGTCAGGGTGAACCGTTACAGTCATGTTTTTTAATTGAGCTTTTCTTTGTTTTGTGGGCATAGTTTTAACCGGTACCAAAAAAAACAAAAATGGTGACCAGTGTAACAAAAAATGTATCATAACGTTACATGAAACGTTACCTGCTGGTTACTGCTAGTAACTGTCGTGTGGAACACATTCGGTTGATACCAGAATTCGACTGGTCACAGAATTCTAACGGCAAATTTAACGGAAATTCAGTTTAAAATTTAAAGGAATAATTTAACTTTAAAACACCAGTTATTCTGTTAGTTTTTTGGATATGTATTGTCAATGGGATGGCCATCAGAGCTAAAATATAGTGTTTACTGTTGTTTAACAATTATAGCAGCAACAATTAGTCCAACCTCGATCAAAACGTGTTTGTAACTCGTTTATCTTTTAAGTATTTTTTCTAGCAAATACTACAAAAGTTGGTTAAGTTAAATAAAAAAAAAAGGTGTAACCAAGAAAATAAGATTAATAATAATTTAAATTATTTTTAATTGCAGCCCTATTTTGAAATGAATGTGAGTGAGTCTTATATATAAATGTAGAGCTGAAATAATGAGTACAAAATGAAGGAATACACTGGTTACTGTATCTAAAAAGATTCAATTAGCTTCTTTCCTTTGTCTTCTGTGATAGTTAACTAAATATCTTTGAGTTTGGACTGTTTGTAGGATAAAACAAATACTTTAATATGTCAACTTGGGTTCTGGGGAATTAAGACGGGCATTTTTCATTATTTTCTGACTTTTTTGTAGACCAAACAATTAATGGAGAAAATATAAATTTTATTGCTCAAACACAGGATTATGGTATCAGTTATGCAGACTTGTTCGTATTGCTGTTCAGCAGTAGAAGTAATATTAATGATTTCTTATCTTATCCTTATCTGTCTTTGATTTTTATTGTTGTGCAGGCTACAAAATAATCAAGAAAATTGGAGAGGGCACATTTTCAGAGGTGATGAAAACTCAGAGCCTGAAAGATGGGAAGTTCTACGCATGTAAAACCATGAAGCAGACAATTAACAGGTATGTATCCTGTGCACAGACAATCACTGGTGCATTTCTCCCGTACTCTGTTGGTATGGACCCTTGAAACTTGAGTCAGCAGCTTGACACCCCCTTTGCCTTAAGTATCCTATTAGATGTCAGCTTAATCCGCCACCTTTGACCTTGTAGTGATGAAGTTACAGTAGATGTCAGTGCTTGAAATATGAGTTGTCAGTGCACTGTTTTTTAACATTGACTGTGGCCTTTAAATATGTGCAACCATTTATCTGGTTAAGTTATTATATCTGTATCAATTTACAGTACATTGTTATATATGCATAATGTTGCTGTATAAAGCTGTGAAAAGGAAATTCACCTGTTGGTACTCATCCCTGCCGCACAATTTTTCAGGTGAAGTGAGCAGATGTGCAGCTTAATTCAAGAATTAACTACCTGTACACCTGTCAAATTGAATGTGCAAATATGCTCTGTTCCCTGTCATCAAGTCTGGAGCAGGCCAACAACCTGCGGGAAGTCCAGGCGATGAAGAGACTGAGCCCGCATGCAAATATCATCCAGCTCCATGATCTGATTTTGTGAGTACTGGATTGCTGTCTATTATTAAGTTATTATATTGCCTCAAGCTAGTTTAATGTCATATTAATCTATTACGTTTCAGTGACAAAGAAACTGGAACTGTGTCTTTGATTTGTGAGCTGATGGAGATGAACATCTACGAGTTCATACAAGGTAAGTCTGTAAATGTGACGAGCATATAGTAAATCATTATAAGGGTGAACTGGAAAGATGGAGACGTCGTCTTTCAGTTAATCTGTAGGTGAATTTTGGGCTGATTCTTTATTCCTTGCAGGAAGAGAAACGCCACTGCCTGACCACACAGTAAAGAACTTTATGTACCAGCTTTGCAAGTCACTCGAACATATGCACAGGTAGTCATGAAAGTGCTTCAGTTAATATTAAATGGTAAACTCCACATTCATGTACGTTAAGACTGTTTTCCCCAACATTCCTCTTTTTGTTTTTTCAGCTGTGGGATCTTTCACAGAGATGTAAAGCCAGAAAACATTCTCATCAAAGTGAGATGCACGATTTTCATAATTTGCTTTGCAGATATGTAACAGTGGTAATCTGGTTTTGAGTCATACACATTTCCAAAAATTATTTTGCAGCAAAATGGTCTGAAGCTTGGCGACTTCGGCTCATGTCGGAGTGTGTACTCCAAGCCCCCGCACACAGAATACATCTCCACGCGCTGGTACAGAGCCCCCGAGTGCCTCCTCACTGATGGGTACTACAGCTTGAAGATGGACATGTGGAGTGCTGGCTGTGTCTTCTTTGAGATCATGAGGTATCTCTGCAGGGAAGGGCACAACATTTCATCTGCTGTACCTAAACAGGACGACAGTTAATGAGACAGGACTGGTTATACTGGATTACCAGTACATGTACATTTACAATGTTAGCAGTGTCTGTTTTCTTTCTTTGTTATTTAATTGAGCCTGTCTGCAACCATAGGCCTTAACAAATGTCAAACAAAGGCTGTATAAATAGCTTTGTGGTGGCGGCCTGATTGTTGTGTACTCTTGTGTTTCAGTTTAAATCCTCTTTTCCCTGGAACCAATGAGCTGGACCAGGTTGCCAAGATCCACGATGTGTTGGGGACACCAGATCAAAGTATCCTCCAAAAGTTCAAGCAGTAAGTGTTCGTCCTCAGATAAATGCTGTGCGTATAAATTGTAAGTATCTTATTTTTGTGGGCTTAGAAAACAAGACTTGTCATTGTCTCTTAATGCCTGACAGGTCTAGAGCGATGCATTTCAACTTCCCCCCTAAAAAAGGCACCGGTATCTCGCGGTTAATCCCCAGCTGCCCGGCTCCAGCTCTGTCGCTGCTCTATCAGATGCTCGCCTATGACCCGGATGAACGCATCAGTGCAGAAACAGCCCTGCGGCACACATACTTTAGGGAAATCAGGTAAAGCATGCAAATAAGAAACAATTCCTGACAATTTGAATCCAATTTACATGGCATAAATTGCTACAGATGGACAAACAGATGAAAGACTTTTAATAATCATATCCTGTCATTTGTAATCCAGGGTGGCGGAGAAGAAAGCCGAGAGTCTTCACAGACTTTCTGGGACTATGGATGGAATAGAGAGCAGTGGGATGCACAACTCCTTAGACCACATCTGGCGACCAACCAGACTCGGCAAACAGCTGAGGGGAAGGCACACAAGGCAAACACCTTTAATGAGCGTACGTCTAATTTCTGCTGATAAACGTTAAAGTGAAAGGTGAAATGTCCAATATAGATACAACTGGTACCACCGATTACTCTCTCCCTCTTCAGCACAACATGAAGCATGTAGCAGAGCCCCTCATCAGACGGAACGCCCCACATTATCCTACAGAGCTGCCCAAGCTCAACATGGTCGTACCAGGACCACAGATGTCCTTCCCCGTCTCCACTGTGCCTGCTTTTACTGTCACCCACCGAGGCACACTGCCAACCATCACATCGAAAAAGTGCCAGACACGGTTGGCCAAGGTAAACACAGGAGTGCAGAACAGACATCAGGCTTTTTATTCACTGCACTGTAAAGTGAAGTTAGCTGACAGATTTGTTTTATAATATCAGATGTTTTAAACATGCTCGCTGTGTTATTTGAAGGAAAAAACAAACAAGTGCTTTGGTAGTGCTTTCATTTGGCATTCAGGCTGCATTTTCTCTATTTACAGCCCCGGGATGAGTCACACCACGCAGCTTTCAAGACCTACTACATGCCACCTCTGGATAGGAAACATGGAGGCTACTGAGAGCCAAAAACACTTCAACATCTGATTAAAAATGGCCTCTTTAAAACATGATAGACTCGTACTGATAAACAGAGTGTGGAGAGGACGATGTTTGGGCAGGCCTGATGCTTCAATCTGTAAAGCCAAGCCAAACATGTTAGAGAAACACATGCAATGACGACCGCCAAGCCTGTCATCTTACCACTTATGACTGCTACATCAGTGTTTTTAACCCTCACTGTAATGGTGACATTTAATGTGTTCTCTTCATAAAAAAAAAATATTAAAGAGTCTCTCATAGTATGTTGGATTGAGAGTGTGTAGTTTAGTTACGGCATCGTCAGGTGTTACATGTTTACAACTGTTTAGAAATATACTTCAGTGTGAGCCTATTACACAAGCTAAGCAATAAGATATTTGACAAGTGAACAGCTGTTTACCAGGTGAATTAAATGGCGTAACACCTTTGATGAGGAACATGGTCAGTGCCTATTAAAAGTAGTTGCACCCCAAGAACTTTGATCACAAATTATTAAATAAATAAGCTTTTTTTTTTTACACCGATCAACAGAAAAATATTTTAATGTTAAAGTATCTACAAACTGATTCGAATTAAGAGCAAATATAAAACAAAATATATGTAAGTATTCACCCTTTGCTGTGACAAATGCTAAGCTGAATAAGACTGCCTGTATGTTAATTATGGTGCGACAAGGTCAATGTCCTGCTAAAAACTATACCATCAAGACAAAAATACTACACACAGTATTTATTTGTTTGGCTGTGATTCAGTCCAACAACGGGGTTGAGCACTTTTTATAAGCACTGTACACTTGTGATGATCTCTTTTGAATAGCTGTGAATGAACTCCTCAGAACAAACCGATACGTAGGGCAACAGTCTTCCTGTACAAAGGTAAACAGCAAACACATTCACATTAAGTGCTTCACAGCTATTGTAAGCTACAACATTGTCTTTGGAGAAGTCTTTTAAAGGCAAATTCCACGATCCAACCGTACTGTAAATAAATACCCATCTGCGGGCAACAAACCGCAGAATTAGAACAGTTAGTGGCAAAAAAAAAACAACCTTTCTTTTAGATCAGTTATGTATGTGAAAACATCTGTATTTGCAGATGCGGCCTTAAGAAAATCTTTTTTAAAAGCTTTGTTTAGAATGTAGCTTGGCCCGTATCCTCATACCTCCTCACTTAAAGCATTGTGGCTTAAAAAAAAAAAAGCACCATTTCATTCAGAGCTGTGAGCTCTTTAAATTGGACTGTGACTCAGTCTGCACTTTATTGTGTTGGTTATTGTGACTGCATAATCAGTAAAAAAGTCAAGTATAATTTGTATGATGTTGTCATTAACCTGCATTATAAATACTTAAATCTTTTACGTCTGTATAACCTGACGCAAAGATTTGAAAAAAAAACAAAAACTGATGATTTTTTTTATGAATAATAAAGCAAGAAATGTAAAATGTTATCTACTTCACACATGTATTTTGTTTTATTTGTCTAGTGTAGGGGTCACTGGACTCTTTGTGGCACTAATTATTGCTTATCACACAAAAATAAAGTACATGAATACTGCAGTAGTGTCGAATGGCAAAGACCCCAAGTTTCTTATGTAAAACCTTTCATGTGATTTTTGCTAAATTCCCTTTAAGGAGAAAATGTGAGGATATAAATTACTGTGTTTTCTATTATTTTATGTGACTGAGGCATAAAAAGAGCTTGAATTGCATTAAGGAGTCTTCTGAGATTCAGTCATTGTAAGACTTCCTGAGCTTGTACACTTGCAGCTCCTTTCATGCAACTTCGACCATGTAAGCAATTTCCACAGCAGAATGCAGTACAGCTTTGTTATGTAAATACAGTACATATGACAAAAAAAGAACAGAAAACGGTGTATTCAAGATTATTTTAATATTATTAATATGTATACTTTAGGCTTTAGAAATATAACTATCAATGACAAAACTTCCACTGGAGTAATGGTAGTTTGCTTAGGCCCCCATCAAATCAATTAATTACAATATACACATTATGGTACAGAGCAGATTTGAATCTGAAATAATATTAAAATAAATGCTCAATAGATAAAGGTTTTAATAGTTTTTTTTTTTTTATCATTTTCTTCACCTACTGTATTAGCCATCTGTGAGTTCTGAGCACACCCAAAAATGTAAAGCCATTTTCTTCTAATAAACTAATTTAAGTGCAAACATTTTTTTTTTCTTTAAAAAGACTATGATTGCAGCATCCAGCTTTATAAATTCAGATTTCAAGACTGAGGATGTTAAAGCCAAGTGCAACAAGGCAGTCCTCAACCCTCTTTTTTTTTGTTCCATTAGAGTAGTTATAAAAACAAACAACAAAATAACTAACAAAATCAGTGCAAAGTCGTAATGGGGAGATTCTACTCAAGAAAAGACAGAAGTGGTGGGTGAATGTGGATGGATGCAAAATTTTCAGATGCTCACGCACTTGGTCATAAAAGGATAGTTCACCCAAAAGTCATATTTTAGTCAGACAACCCTGAGCCAGGACCAGGCTACACCACAAGGTTAAAAAAAGGGGGGATACACACAGATTATGAAAATTAAATGAACTGTCCCTTTAATCTCAAGCCACAATTGTCTGGTTTGCATCTAACAAAGCCAAGCTTTTATTTCCAGAGGGGACAACAGTCTGATGAGATCTGACATGAAAGAAAGATTTTTTTTAAAACTCTAAAATGTGTTAAAACTCCAGAGAAAAATAGTACATTAGCGCAATAGTCCACAATTGCACCACACCTTTTTTTTTCTTTTTTTTTTTGCTTCATTCCTCCATTAGGTCAAGTGAGTGATAAACAAAAAGAAACAGAAAAGCCATTAACAAAATCAGAGGGGGGTGGGGAGGGGAGGGGTATCAAAGAAAAGGAAAACTTGCAATGCTTGCAGGGTGAAGAGCAGCATCAGACTCTGGGTTGCAGGGTTCTTTAGCAGCAGAAATATTGTGGCTATACTACTGTTCCACTGGGAGAGCTGGCTTGGTTTTGGGATGACAATAAACCCTGGAAAAAGGAAAACAAGGAGATTTGCATTGGGAAAGTTCACATAGTGTAGCAAAAAAATCAAGCAACAAATAGCCCATTAAAAATTAGCCTCTAGCGTCTTCTTTCCATATCCCAGATTGAATTAAAATCCTGTGCACAGCAGTCAGTGGATGACGAGTGTACAGTGCAACACTAATGATGTCTTTGAGAGTTTTGCTTGACCAAGGCACTTCTAATGAACACGACCAGATAATTGTTTATCCAGAAGGGTTTCTTTAAACCTATTGATCTGAGGGTATTTTGTTCTTTTTTTCCAGGGCAAATTTACAAAACTGTTACGCATTACATTATTATTGCACTTCTAAAAAAAATAAAATAAAAATAGGTCTGTTCTTCCCTTCTTACTGAATACTAATTGCACCTTCCAGAAGACTGTCCTCAAACATTGCAATATATTCCTGCTTTCATACCATTTATATTTGATCCATTTTCTCCCAGAAGACACTAGTGTCTCAGTATCACTGCACTGTTTCTGTTCTCATTTTTACAAGAGACATTTGATGAAATTTCAAGGGCATTTTTGCCTCTGGCGCTTGTTAATGTCTGACTCTGGATCAAAGTAACAACCTCACTGGACTAACTAGCCTTCAGACTGCATGTTGTGTTCCAGATCCAGACATGTCATGTGCCTTGTTCCGGCAAAATCTCTCAAAACACAGACAAAGGGGAAGTATACAAGGGCGTAAGCTGTAAGCATGTGAGAAACTGCAGAGACTCTTTGGAGCAAATACAGAGCCATTTGCATAAAAGCTGAAATGTGAGTGTGTATGCAGATGATTTCTTGGCTATGTTGCTATGCATTGTGGGATGATTATGATGAACCAATGAACACACTTCGTATGGATTAACGTCTTCCCTCCCCTCACAGGTCTGCACAGGAAATCCTCCTTATCAGAATGTATTATATAACCAGACTGCAATATTTCCATAGCATTGGTTGTATTTGAAACTTAAGCATAAAAGGTCTTTCATTGGAAAGCAGACGTACATTAAACAAAGTATGATATGTTCCTTGCCTGCCTGCAGAGAGTGACAATCTGACTATAAAAGCTAAAAATGCTTTTCCAAATGTCCATAGTTTATTTTATGCTTTCAGAATGTGTCTTGATTTTTAGTTACAGCCCACCAACTGACTTTAGGACAGCTTAAGATTGACAGACAATGTTAACACTTCAACTTTCCCCCACATTTCCTACATTAAAAAGAACTTACCACTTTGCCTGGCCTCGCCCATGTGCAAATAAATCCCTCCTGACAAGCAGTCACTAAACAGTCCTCTAAAAATATGAGTACAGTCAGTCTCTCGTGTGCTATCTTTTTACAGATGAGGGGCTCAAGGAGGGGCACATCCTCCATGCGCGGGCACAGCAGAGTGCCCAGAGTCTTAGCAGGGTCTGTTTTGGTTTTTGTCAGCAGGTTCAGCTTGTCGCTGCTCTTGCTGCTGATGTGGCCCATGCTGTGGTTGCGTTTGTGGTCCTTCTCATGGTGGCGCTCCTTCCGATCATGGAGTGACAGCGTGGCAAACTTACTCACGCCTGTTGCGATGGCACTGTCCATTATACCACTGCCGATGCCGACACCACTGCCAGCCTTGTTGGTATTGTTTGCTGTTGTTGTGGTGCCGGCTGAATGGGGTAGGCTGTTGGAGCGTGGTAATGTTGTAGAGAGGGAGTTAATTCCAGGAGTATTGGCACCACTGTTGTTTCCATTAGTAGTGTTACTAGAGGTGTTAGTGATTATTGTAGCGCCCGCAGGGGGGCTCGTAGCATTCATCACGTTAGTGTGTGTTCGTGTCCGTGAGAGCGGAAGATGGGGAAAAAGGATGTCCTCAGTGAGGTCCCATAGGCACAGCTGAGTGTCCTGGCCCACCGAGCCAAACCGGTATGTGACACTAACAGGCCGGCTGTCCGTGGAGTTGCGCTTGGAGAGTCGAGACTGCGTGCTGTTGGCCCGGTCTCGTCCAAAGTGGATCATCTGATCCTGGAAGTCCTCATCACTGCCACTGAACTCCATTGGGTCACTCTCTTCCACGCTGGTGGTGTAATGGTCAAATGCCACCACACTTACCCATGACTTGTGCCCGTGACCTCGGGCGATGACTCTGCAGTCCAAGAACGACCACACAGTCACTAGATCGTCCTCTCCACCTGCAACTATATACTTTCCATCAGGGCTCCAGCACACACACAACAAGCCACCAAAGTAGCTCTTCATGGTGCCATGAAGCTCAACCGCGTCAAAGTTGAAGACCCGTAGGAAGCCGTCTTGGCTAACACAAGCTAGAAACTTCCCGTCTGGAGAGAAGGCAAACTCATTCAAAGCCCCCTCACCCACTGTCCATTTAAGAAGAGGGTTCCTCGTGGATTTACTCTTGCAGGTGTGTACAGAGTAGTTCTCTCCCTGTTTAAGCAGCTGGTAGTGTGGTGCTGTGGTACCACAAGTATGCTCCACATTGTACAGGTACATATTCCCACTGGCATGAGAGACCAGAAACAAGCTCTCAGAGCCTGGCACCCATTTCACGCATGTTACTCTGGACTTGTCTATTAGTCTCTGGCAGGAGAGATGGAAGGTTGAGGTTTGAGAAGCAGACGGGGGGGAGAGAGCAGTGGGAGAAGGGAAGAGGGAAAAAATATTATCAGTACAGTATCATCAGGAAATCAACATAGTGAATATGTTCAAAGTGTCTTAAAATTACAAATATAATATTCTGTTAAAGTCTGAGGCCACTTGGTAGTATTCAGTTTAAAGGGCGCTGGGCAGGAAAAGCACAAAAAGTAGCATCAAGTACAAGAAAATATATTTTGAAAACATTACACCTTCAGATGCTTTCAACATAAACAGAACTGGTTGTTAACTTGGTTAATAATTTAATGTGAAAATCCACTGCCTCTCCCAACTCTTAGTAACCTAACCTCGTGCTGGGCGATATACTGGATAAACCAGTATGTTGGTTTTACAAAGTTGCACTTTGCACAATAAAAATTGTTTACATTCTACAAATGTTTCATGTATTCTGATTCCTTCATTTATGCTATCACTTTGTGGGCCATGAAACCCCTATAATAATAGCCTTCAGTATATACATGACATTAAAGATCAAACAAATACTGTGATATACCATAAAACAGAATCTTAAAAAAGAAAAATGTATCCAGATTTTGTGTCATACCGCGCTGCACTAATCTAACCTCTGTCCTTCAGGAACCTACCTCCTCATTGAAGAGCTTGCTTGTTTCCTTCTTGATGGGGTCAATGAGCTGTACCTGTCCTGCTGAGAAACCCACCAGCAAGGACACACTCTCCGCTGTGGCTGTGAGGTGGTTGAAGTCATGACAGGTGGGCTGCGTTCCCTTGTAGATACGCTTGTCTATGGGCTTGCTCAGGTCAGCAGCCTTAAGAGAGAAAGCATGAACGCACATTAAGTGAGTGCAGTGACCTTTAAATATCAAAAATGACTTTATGCACTGTGTTGACAAAGGCTATTGTTGGTCAGACTGTGAAAACATTGAACATTTACATAGACTCCACTGATGAGGAAGAAGAAAGTTTTCTTAAACAAAATGTCCTGCAACCAAAGTTAGAAGTGACATCTGAACTCATAATTGTTCTGTGTGACCTTTAGCAACACATCAAACAGCTGACAGTCACTGAGCAGAAATGAGGAAGAACTAAATAGAGGTTTTCTCGGTTGATGCTATTTATCACTGTATGAGGTACAGTTTCTTTTTAATGGCAGGGAAACGGTATACAACTGCTGTGAACCAGACAGCCATAGGCATATACTGCAGACAACCAGTGTAACAACAGTTCCATGTGTTAATGATTTACAGTTTATACTACTGATAGAATGGAAAATTCTCTGTAAGATGATGACTCCGTGGTTTCTCCACTGCTTTTTGATGTGGCGTTGAGTGTTTCTGTCTCACCTCAGAGAGACAAAATGTCAAACCAAGTCCTAAAAGTAGAATCAAGAGTCCAGAGTTAAAAACACAGCTCTTGTGCTTCAGAACGGCAGGCATGTTATTATGCTGCACCTTGATGTTTGACATAATAAGCCTGCAAACAGTGGTGAAGAATGCTTTTTAAGACTGTGAGCTGTAAACCTGTAGCCGTGTATGTGCTCCATCAAGACATATGAGAAAAGTAAAGTGACCGAGCTCTTCCAGCTGCACCTTAGTAATGGGACAAATAATCAATAAGGTGATGTATTGTGAATATTATCATTCATAGACCAAAACTAAATATCACTGTTTTTAATAGGCATATGATTAATTTGCTTGTCCTTGTAGTAACTCGCCTATCTTACATTGTCTGTCAAACTTAAATTGCCAGAATTAACAAGACTAAAACGACTATTAAGCAGTTATTTTTTTTAACCTTTTACAACAAACTCATCTCTGGTAGTTCAGCCATTGACACATATGACACAGTCTCTCAGTGACTCATGCAAAAGGCCACCACACACAGCTTTAACTTAGAAGTCAGCTGATTCCGGTAAACCTGTGGTATGAGGTCAGCTGTTGGCTGCAGACAGTATTTTGAATATATAGTTATTCAGTGATTCCCACCCCCGGTTTACCTGGTTAACTAGAAAAGATATTCACATATTTGTCAGAGTTATTGAAGAAATACGCTAAATTACTCGTAATATTATATAAAAATCACACTGTGCAACGATTGAGCATTTAAAAGACGTCTAAAGTTAGCATTTCTCTACAAGCAGAGCAAGTCAGCGAGTTTTGCCCCCCGAGCTAAAAGGCTGAGTGCCATTACATCAAAAAGGAAGACGGCAGCGGTTAGCTTGCTGGCCAAATGATTGTCAATACACCAAATCAGCATCACTGGTGGTTTGTCGACAGCTGTCAGTCAAAAGGCGTCGACAGGTGTTAATGGGTGGCAACGAAGAACTGTCACTGTCATCACTAACTACAGCCGCTACACGAGCAATGGCCATCCTGACAACTTCAATCAAAATCAAAAAGGTCAAATTAACCCCCGGTGATCGCTATCCGACCACACGAGTCCCCTCTACCCAGCAGACAGTACAGCAGTGGCGGGCTGTGGACGGGGTTTCGCCCCTGGCCTCGGAGCAGCTGCTGGCTTACTAGCGTTAGCCAGTTGCGTTGGCTAGCTCCGAGCTAACTAGCTGTCAGCTAATTTTCAAAGTCAAGCAGCTGCGAGAGTTATTAACACAGTTCAACACAAGCTCCGCGGCTCAGCAGTGCTGGGGGGTTAAAAACAACACACAAAACATGCAGTATCAGGGTTCCCGCTGACATTAGCCCGCTACCTTTCTAACGCCTTTGTAGATGTAGAAGTAGAGCTCACGGCCCACATTGAAACAGATCCGGTCGCCGTTGCCCGACTGGTCGTTGACGTTCACGAAGGAGACCTTGACGGGGTTGGAGCCCTGCGAGTTGAAAGGCACCCTGTTGGGACGGCTGTATTCGGAGTGAGTGAGGAGTTTGTAGACGCCTTCCCGAGTTGTGAACTGAGTTTTAATTTCGTTCATCTCCTTCCCTCCTCCCTCCGCCGCCATCTTTGAAATTAACATTCATCCCTTTCCCCCAGGCCGGATCTTACGCACGGAGCGGAGCGCGGAACGGATCGCGGAGCGGAGCGGACCACGGAGCACGGAGCGGATCTCGGAACGGATCGCGGAGCGGAGCTTGGCAGTATTAAAAACATTGTTATTTATTCTGATTTATTATGATTTTTCTTAACATATATATATATATATTTAAACAAATAATATGAACCTATATTCGGTGTCTTTTTCACTTTGTCCAATTAGAGCGGACCACGGAGCACGGAGCGGAGCACGGAGTGGACTTTCCGACTCTCCCGTTCCCCCCAACGGATCACCGGGGAACTGGCGGTGGAGGACGCGGTTGTACTTTAATTGGATATCTCACACAGCTTTTTCTTCTTTACAAGAAAAACATTGCAGCGTTACAACATGTTATGAATTAATACTATTGAGGAAAAGGAAAATATTTATACAACAGTAGTTTTACGTTGGTGGTAGGAACAGGTTATATTGTTAAATGTTTAACCAAATGTTATACATTATTTTGAAGTGATTTTGAAGTCACTTCCTTGGCCTTTACATATAAATACATTTTAAATAGGTTTATAATATATATTTATTTTTAAAAAAGGGCTTACAAAGTGGTTATATAATAATTTAATAATAATTAAAAGCTATAAAAACGCCTACATGTAGGTTTTCGTGCAGAATCAGCGGGGTCAATATGAGTTTTATTTTGAAAAAACAAAAACAAACACCGGACGTATTATTTTGTTAAAGTCTTACAATCAGCAAACTCGTTTTGAGCTCGTGTCCATGCTGTGTGTCCTGTGTCGGCTGCTCACCTGTGGCCACACTTGGCTGCTTCATATCAAAGGCACCTGGTAGTCTGCTCGGTTAATTAATCTTCCAGTTTACTTTAATTATACAAGTAAAAGACAACTTTTAAGTCTTTTTTTACTTTAATTGTGGTGCAAAAAAAAGTTACACGCGCCAAATGTTATGGCATATAGGAGAAGACGACAACTCGGACTTCCAGGTATTTTTGTTTGATTTTGGCAGTATTAAAAACATTGTAATTTATTCTGATTTATTTATGATTTTTCTTCACATATATATATTTTTAAACAAATAATATGAACTTATATTCGGTGTCTTTTTCACTTTCTCCAATTAGAGCATAGTGATAGACATGCACCCAACAACGTGGACCAGCTTGCTTTCAAATACATGGTGAGATCAGTTATCACCATTTTTTTTTTAAATCAGTTTAAAAATCCTAAATCACTTTGCATTTAATTTGTGCATTGCTTTTGACATATAAATATGGACTGGAGTTGACTGACTCTGTTTTGTGTCAGGAGATGTGTAAAGTGGAGTCCAGCACCGATTCTGACTCCGAGATCAGTCCAAGATGGTCAGACACCAGCACTATGGTACTGCTTTATTTCTGTATGTGAACATTACACATAAACATAATACAACAATAAACACAAATGCATACTTGACCATGCATATTTTATATACTATACATGTATTTTAAAGAGATTACACCCAGTCCCAGACTTAAGACATTTTCCATTGGATCTCTCCATGGATTATGTTTTAATTTGGATCAAATTTGTTTCCCAGAAGCTGACTCTTTCCCCATTATCATGGCACCAACACTGCAGACAATTCACACTTTCCTACATCCACAGTCTTGTCTTTTTTTGGTCTCAGGCAGGAAATTCTGGGGTGGGCTCCAGCATGCATTTAACTTATAAATAAATTATTGTCTTTGGAGACAGAAAAATCACTGAATTCCTTGTCAAGCAGGGATGTGTGAGCAGTGCACCAGAGAGTGGGACATTTCGGAGGACATTGCCATTAACACACAAGCCTGCAGGGAAGCATGGCTGTTATTCTTTGGTGAGTATTCTCCTTCCTTTAATCCATCCATTTCTGCTGGTGAAAAAAGCATCCTGCTCTTCTGTGTGTTTATGAATGAATGCACATGTGCTCATAATTGTAGTTTTTGGACCCGTATGATGGGAGCTCCGAGGATTCTGGTGAGTCAAACGCAGACGTGGGTGTCTCCAGTAGGCGAACGAGGCAACAGGGAAAAGGCGGAGGAGGCTGTCGGTTCTCTGGCAGGAGCAGGAGATTTATCCTCCATCACCCTGCTTCCGTTGCCCACAGAGAAGTGGTCAAAAATGGGATGAGGGATCCCGTAACAGATCTTTTGGACGTCCCAATGAAATGTGGGAGTGACTCAGAGCTGTGGGTCTGTGAGCTAGACATTCTGCCCTCTCACAGCGACAGGGGTGGTTGTAGAGATGTCAAAGAAGAACTGGCAGACGATTCAACCATGCACGCCCAAACCATGGATATAGAACTACATTGCCAATTTGATGATTCAGGCATGCATGCTACGAGATCCTCCACACCTCAAACACCTGAACCTGTAACTCCAGTGGAAGGGAGTTTGTCACAGATGTTGCACAGCTCCTCTGAGAGATCCCCCAGTCCCTGTAACCTTACATCTCTTCACAAGAGAAAGCTGGGTTTCCCTGGAGCAGAAGCGATGGAGCTGGGGCAAAGAAAGAGGCAGTGTGTCGTCAACATGGAGGACAAACAGGAGGGAGGGGAGTCTGCACCCGAACCACGTTAGAGCTCCAATAACGGACTGCCAGACTGAAGTACTGCAGTCATTTTGAATGCCTTAAATGGTTTAAGTTGGAATGAAACGCTATAGTTACTTGGCAATGCACTTTGTTTACTCATGTTATTAGGCCTGAGAGTTTATTTTTCTACCTCTTTCCACCTTTTGATTGTCTCACAGGTGTCACATATTGTGCCGATTGTCTCTTTAAGCAATATATAATTTTTGTCGGGATAATTACCATAATAACTTGGGTCACCATAATAGACCACTGAAGTACAACCTATGCACTGGCAATGAAGAAACTGTGTTTTCCCATGGGCCAATAAAAGAAAAACACATTTTCAGAAAGAAAAATAAAACGTGATATTGACTTATTTTGTCCACATTAGCTAAATAAGTTTCTACTACTGCACTGGATAGCAAAGTTTGAGCAACTCCTTATTTAACTGATAATTTCTCCAGTTTCATGCATTGTTTTTAGTCCTTTCCTGTTTTGGCTTTATATTTATTATTTATTTACTTTCTGTAAAATAAATCTCTTGCAAACTGCAGCGCAGTAATCTATACATAATGAAAAAATAAGTCAGCATCTATTTAAAATTGGGAAAATGCACGACTGAACACAAGTTGCATTCCATGTTTTTTCTGCAGATTAGAATCTAAATCTCATCCTTATGTCCGTTTCTTAAAGACGTTTTTTCAGGTGTCAAGTGCAGATTTAGTTTCAGATTTAGTCCTCCTTTAATAGTTTAAACTAAAAGTTTGGCCCTCCAACCAGCAGGTGGCAGTAATACAAAAGAAGTCTTCAGTATCTTTGCCTGAAGGTTTTGATGATAAACTGAGTTTTTGACTGTCATGTGATTGAGGGCAAGAACTTAAGTCAAGCTGAAAGTTATCATCCACCACCGTTCGGACTCTGGTTCTGGTTCAGATGGGCACATTTTCAGGTCCTTGTATTTTATTTAACTTTTATGTCTTAAGTTACACCACAAATACCACTTATGATACTGACTTTAAATCAAACATTTAGTAGTACACAAAGACAGCGTCGAAGTATTTAATGCAGTTCATTTAATTCCAGCAAGCTTCATTCAATCTAAAAACATACAGGTTCTTTCATTAAAACATCTTTAACTTACAACTTTCCTTTTCCACATGTCATTTTCTCTTCATTTACCATCTGACAACATCCCCATTACCTTCTGAGACACTTTCCTCAAACTCTAATGGCTACATGTTCATTACTGCTCCACAAATGTTTCTCTCTATAACTACATTTTATACCAGAATGCAACAGGCTACAAACTACTTTTTAAATGGTGGTTAATAAGCTATGAATGTAAGTGATAATGTGTGGTCTAATAATCAAGACTCTGTGGTCTTCAGGAATGACTTGTTTCATCTACTCAGTGCACAGGACAGCAACTCCACGCTCATAGAAGGCGTGTGGATCCTCCTTTGTGGCGATGTCAAAATCAACAGTGAAGATGAGGTCAGACCTGGTGAAGTTCAGGTACACTGGCAGAGTCACCTGCAATAAGAAGAAAAACGGAATGTGAGGAGAGGTCCAAAATCTGAATATAACAGCATAATAAGACCTTTTTTCTAACCTTTTTTAGATTATTTAATAATGGATTTGTGTATACATATCTTGTTCATACCATGTGTCTCTTCTCAGCGTTGCTTTGCTTGATCCAGCGGAGCTGAGTGAGAGGCAGCTCAGTGGAGATGGAAGTGGACAGAGACAGCTTGTTGTTGGCACAAGTAGCTCCCTGCAGTTTCAGACCTGAGAGGAACAACAAGCATGTTTGACATTAGTAACTTTTATTATTTTACAAATCTACAATATATATTAGAACACAAAATAAGTTTGGTGACAAACTGGAGTCACATTTTAAGACGTTGTGCCACACTCATGACTAGAGTGCTACAGAATTAGTAGGACCCATCCTACACCTATCCTTTCTTTTTACTTAATGATTAGGAATCACATGGAAGGAGACAAGAATGAAAAACTATCCAGCACCGATCTCTACTCATGAAGTAGTTCATAAATACTTATATTCTCATATTGCCACAGTTTAACCTTGTTACACAACTTCTAACTACAGCAGATGATGGGCTGCTCGTCTGACCTTTGATGCCAAAGCTGCAGGCATCCAGCGAGGAACCCTGGGCAGTGGTGACATTGACCTCCAGACACAGCTCTTCCAGAGACCAGCTGTTGGCCTGGGCCACATACTGGCGGGTAGCGGTAATGTAAGCTTCTGGCACAAACAGGCTTCCAAGGCACACGTGGATGTTCTGGAGGAGAAAAGGAAAATAACAGTACTGTGAGCGGCTCTCTCAACTTTTAAGGAATCTGTTATAATATTTAAGAGTCACAGGTTGTTCAATGGTGTACA